AGGAGGAGAGGGTGAGCATACAATCTGAAGCATTTGAGCTGGAAAAGAGGAGAATGAAGTGGAAGAGGTTTTGTAGCAAAAAAGATAGGGAGTTGGATAGTATGAGGGTGAAGAATGAAAGGTTAAGGCTGGAGAATGAGAGAATGACTCTCCAAGTCATAAAGGGCTGTAGTTGGATTACTTCAGGCCTGGGGAAATAGTGGAACCGTTTTGTACTCCGGTGGAGGGAGACCGGGTTAAGAGCGCACAGTGGAGTTGGAAGGTTACAGTAAGTGTTAACAAATTTTGTTAATTATTTTTTTGATTTGTATTTTTATTTTTTTTTTGCCATTTTGGAATATCTAGTTCCGCCCTTTGAGAGTGATGTTTACTGTTTGCAATAATTTTGATAGGTTGTAGTGCAATATGCTAAATTTTGTGAACATCTGTACATGATATAAATTGTGATGTTATCAACAAGTGAGACTACTGCAAGTTAACAGTAGGTTTAATTTTTTTGCAAATTGGGTCCATGAAGATGGGTAGAAATTTTCACTTAGGTTTCATCTCCTGCAAAGCCTTAGGCAGGGAGGTGGTCAATGCATAGCTTGTTGAAGCTGGGCATTTGGGTTGACATAAATTCAATATTATGCAAACTGGTGTAAAGGAGGGGCCATGGAATGTGAAATTTGATGTATCCATTTGTAGCACTTTCTACCAAGAATGTGTAATTAAAGGGTGCACATAACTTGGTGAATCAAATTTTTAGGTATGTTAAATGTCCGGAAGCGCAGTTAATTTTTTTGAAGCATGCTTGTCTACTTTTTTTGTTATGACAGCTATACTATTTTCCTTCTATGATAACCTAATGTGGATGGATTGATCAATGGCTGATATTGTGCAGAATTTAATAAGGATTCTGCAAAAAATTAAAACTTTAGTGGCACTGCAAAAAATTAAAACTTTAGTAGCCAAGAAAGTAGATGAATTAAAACTTTAGTTAGTGGCACTGCAAAAAATTAAAACTTTAGTAGCCAAGAAAGTAGATGAGTTGGAGAAGAAGTTAGAGGAAGGGATGAATTTAATTTAATCTGGGATGGAAGGAAGATTTGCTAACATAGAGGTTAGGTTCTCTTCTATAAAGAACCAACTGGAAGACCGATTCGAGAGTATGACGGAAATTTGAGAGATGCTAAAAAGATTCATTGAGAAGCAATCCAATACCCCTCCGATGGCTCAATTTGCAAACTCTAACCAAAAGTTGACTTGAGAATCCATGGTAAGATTGAAAGGAATGGAGATCAAACGCGAGGAACATGAGGAAGAAAACAGCCACCATCACAAATTCTCTCTTAGGGTTCCGATTGGGGGTGTATTATATATTTTTGATGGAGGCGGTTGAGCTAAAATATGGAGAAAAGATTATGCAAGTGGTATGGAGGAGCGCGAAGAAGAAACGAGGGAAGCATGGAGGGGATAATGCTATGATCGAAGGAAGGAATTTCACCCTCGATACATGGGGGAAACAAAGGAAGAGGAAGTTGGGGGTGGAAATGTTAGATTTAGGAATTTGAAGATGCCAATCTTGGACAGAAAAAATGCAAATGGGTAGGTGTATTGGGTGGAGCGATATTTAGCTGTGAATGAGCTAGATGGGGAGGAGAAACTCATGGAGACAGGGTTATGCTTGGAAGGGAAAGCTCTAGCCTGGTTTCAGTGGAGGGAGGCTAGATACTCGATTCATTAATAGGAGGAATTCAAAGCTTGTTTGTTGGAATGTTTCCGAGCAATTCGGGAAGGAGACCTACACGATCAATTCTAGTCTTGACTTAGGAGAGGACTGCTATGGAATAAAGGGAGAGATTTGAAATATTGTCCGGACGACTGAGGGAGATTTTTGAAGTAGGATTGGAGGAAAACTTCATGAAGGGCCTGAAGCCCAACATACGGGTATCACTCCGACTATTGAGACTATAGGGAGATGATGGAGTTAGCTTAGATAGTAGAGGGCAATAATCAGATGAAGAAGACTGCAGGAGCAACACAGATGGAACACTGCACCGGACTACTACAACCCCGACAATATCAAAAGCTCAAACAATGGAAGTCCAGAGGGAGGCTGCACAGGATACGAATAATGGACCATGATCGGGAGCAACACTCAAGCGCTTCACAAAGATAGATTTCGAAGAAGCGAGTTTTGGTGTGATGAGAAGTTTAATCCAGGACACCGTTGCGAGGATCGAAAATTATAAATTCTCATGGTGCATTATGAGTAAACAGGGAATAAAGAAATAAGACAACTATGGAGAAGAAGGACAAACGCCTTCACTTTTTCCCACCTTAAGGACAAAGTCTCTTTTGGGGGGAATATTGTTACGTTGGAGCCTAGTCTAAGGCAAATGTATTTTTTGTACGCCTAAAGGCAATTTAGTCTTTAATTATTATTATGGTTGGGTATAAATAGGCTTCCAATGTCTAGGGTTAGGTTTCTACATGAGATTGAGTGACGAGTCTTAGGTTTAGGGTTTGGGAGAGATTTCCCACCTCTTGAATTATAGAAATTGGGAGTGATCGCCTACCTCTCGAATTGTAGGTGCTTATCATTTGGATTCATGTGAGTTTTTTGGCTTATTGTAACAAAAATTTATGTTTGCCCTAATTTCTGTGGAAAGCGTGCCGAATTTGACGTCGGATCGTATCAGTCGGTTACCCCTATCATGATTTATTGAATTTTATATGCCATTGATTCAAGTCTTTTTATCGTTCATTTTCATGAAGTAATAGGGATCAAAATGAGGTGTCTTCTGGAAGTGATTTAATAAAAGTTTGTTGGCAAATGAATTTCTGCTGAGTTGTGAAGGACTTATCGGAAGATCCTAATTGACCTAGTTGTAAACTTGATATCAATTATTTATGTTTTCTTTCCCTTTCTTTGTACTTGAAGGAGCATTGAGTGAACATCCAAATCCTCTTTAATGCCATTTGTTTTGTGGAAGTGCATTAGCTTAGTATTCTTCTTAGATCTTTCTCTTCGTTATCACTATCAGCGTTGGACATATTCTTGCTTCTTTCCCTTTCTTTTTGGTGATTCTAAATTGCATTAGCTTTTAAGCAAGCCTTTATTAACTTGTACCAGGATGATTATTTGCTCTAAAAAGGCATTCATGACAATTTTCAAATGCTTTTTTGAGATCGCTCTGCCATCAATAAGAATTTAAATGACAATTGGCTGCTTTCAAAATTCATTGGACTATTTGTTGGTGGAAATCTCATGCTATTGTCATGTCATGCAATTTTTATCATCCTTCTGATTTATGCGTTAAAACCTGTTATTTATGTTTCTGTTGAACTCTCCTCATGGTGCTCATGTAGTGTTGTAAGTTTTAACATTGGAGTTTTCAAAATGAAGGCAAGCAAGTTGTTTTCTTGTAATTAAAATATATTTGTTGTTCTTTCGACATTGAATAAAATAAAAAATAATTTATGATTGCTTTAGCCATTTGGGGATGTGATCCACGTCAAAAATATCATAATATATAGAAATTAAATAGGCTTGTTGTTCATTGGAGTCCCAATGGGAGATCCATAAGAGAAGAAACTACTTTTCAAAATCAAAGTGTTTTGCCTTTTAGATGGAATAAGAGGGTTGCCCTTAAGTTGTGCATTATTATTATTATTACTATTTTCCTAGCCCAATGATTTTTCGTATTTTCTTTGTTTCCGAAAAGTCAGTTATATTTTTTGATTAATTGGCAAGAATGTTGTTATGATTTCAATATGATTTGACTCCTGTGATGGTGTAATGGTCATCTTGATTATCATTAGACATGAATCAAGTATGGAAGTTTAATGCTTTTTTTTCGGACTTTAAGAGTTTGTAGGTGGATGGTAAGGTCTAAAAGAACTTGGGTAGACTTAAAATCAAGAAATAATCAAATTAAGGGTTTAAAGTGTCCATAGGCAATGCTTCGTGGTTTATGAATAGGTTGGTTGTTTCTTTCTTTAATGCCACATCAACGGCCATTTAGTCATCTTGTTGTAGAGTTCTCAAACATGTGCTGAATACTTTTTGTTGTTTCCTCTTATATGCAAACAAGTTTTATCCAAAATATATTTATTGATCTATTAAAAATAATATACTTAATATACTATCTTTTAAATACAACTACATGATATTTGATATATTAGGCAAGGTGATAAACACTAGAATTATAATACTCATAAAAGGTATCAAATGCATAATTGCAACATTCTCTCCTTGATTGGCCCCTTTTGTGTGACCTATGTGTAACTGATACTGTTGATGTGTTCTTGATGTTACCCTATGTAGCCTACATTTGTAGAATGGTGTATATGTCTATGCGACTATTCTAATATGATGCTATTATTCCTCTTCTATGTTTCTTGACTTAGACTACCCCTTGTTTCTCCAGCTACATGATGATGCAAAGAGGCATGAAAATGAGTAATTGTTATATCTTTTAAATTGTCCCTTATTATGCTTACCATTAAAGGGTCAGCTAGTTTGGTTAAGTTCTTAGGTACAATGTATATTTGAAGGGTCTGCATGATTTGATGAATAACGACCATAAAATATGAGTTTTGTAGCTATTTTTAAGTTTTCTAGTGTTTCATGTGAAGGGGCTATTTGGTTGGATCGTTTTAAAATACATGGGTTTTAGAATAAAAATTTATTGGATTGTGCTCGTTTCATTGG